GAGCCATCGCTGGCCGCGGTGGCACTGAACCCTCAGCTCGTCCTCGGAAGGCAAGCGCCGTCTGGAAGCCAAAATTTCTAAACTGGTGTTTTAAAAGAGGACTCTGAGGACAGAATTTTAAAAGACAGTGCTAATTTCTATGTATATGTATTAAGTAGATTTTTTTTTTATTATTAACTTGCCAAGAAGGCTGCTCCATAGCCATAAGTTTGGGTTTTAATTGTACAATAAGTGTGCATCCATATAGCAGGTGCACGTGTGCCTTTAATTCGGAGATTTTAACAGCTAGTTAAAAAATCAAGCCAAAAAAAGTTGTTTCAGCCATTGGCCAGCGAATCTGGAAGTACCCCCTGAGGAAGTTACCCATGAGCGCAACGCCTCCGCAGCAAGGCTTTTCAGGGACCCCAGACCAACAAAATGTATTTCTGTGATCTACGTGCTGCCTCCTGTGAACTCGGATGATGCAGGAAAGAGCCGAGTGCTCTGCTGTGCATTCAAAGACATTTGCTGACCGCAGGGGAACAGGGACTGCCATCACCCCATCCCACCACAGGCCCTGGAGGCTGTTGGTACAAGCTCTGCTTATGCCTGCCCTGCCCTCTGCAGCCTCCTCTCCTCTGGGAGTTGGAGTCTCCCAACTCGTTCTTTCAGGCTCTTTTCCAGTAATCCACCTCTCTTTCCTGCTCCCGGCCTGGCCCCAGGCTCTCCTACCCTGTCTTCTCCCACTCCCCACTCATTCACCTGGTCCAGCCAATCCCAGATTGGTTTTTTTGGCACTTTCTCCAGACAATAAGCAGCAGCTTCCATTGTGCTTTCCCTTCATCTTTGTTTCCTGGGGCTCCTTCATCAGCTTCCTCTTCCTTTTGGTCCCTGTGACCATTTTGGCCAGTATTTGTGACCAGGCTCTGACCTCCTCCCCTTCACTGCCAGCCGCCAGCAAGGCGCCTTACCTCACACAGTGGCCTATTTCTTCAGCTCCTCCCTCCAGGACCTTTCCCTTCTCTCCTACACTTAACCTGGGGAGACTCACTTCCCCTTACCACACACAGGCGGAAATGAAAGCACACTCACGTCATTACATTTTAATTGCTATAATTACATTTTAGTGTTGTAGGATGTGAGACTTTTAAAATATGCCTGAAATTTGAAAGGGAAGCTTCTGTCCAGATGCAGTCTGGCCCATGTTTGGGGCAGGTGATGTTCATTGTACTCCAATAAACCTGTATGGAACATGTAAATACTTGTTGTTTCCCCTCCCCTCCAAAAATATGACTTGGTTTACTTTATGCAGGTTTTCACAAGGCTGGCTAGCAAAGCCATAGCACTGAAAACGTTTGTCTCTTCCCCATCACCCATGAAATTTTCATACTTCCACTGGGGTACAAGAGTTTTTAAAATAAATTCTCAGAATGTTTGTATTATGATGTTATTTTTCTTTGGCTTTCTTCTTGGAAACAATAAATCATTGTAGAAGAAATTAAGAGAAAAAAAGAAAATAGCCTAGGTAAACATCTGGTCTAGAATATTTCATCCCAACTGGTTAAAATTTTGCCAGATCATGAAGAACGGGAACAGTCGGGCAGCTTTAACAACGCCTGATGTTACCTGACCCACCCATCATTACACAGTGTAACACGGGAGATGTTTCCCATGTGCTGGGCTCTGTGACCCACACCAAGTGCTTGGGAAGTGTAAACCCATCATTTCTGTTAAAGGAAATTGTACTGAGGATTCTGAATCACTTTCTGCATCATACATTCAAATCGGCCAAATTCTCTTGCTCCTTGTGTGGGAGAAAAGATGAATTTGGACCTAGAAACTTTTCTTTCTAGTCTTAAACACAGAGGGACTATTTATACAAATTGACAGATGAGCGTACCCAACTGCACCAGTGGTTCAGACATAGCAGTTACTTCTAAGAAGAAGGTGCAAGAAACTCTACTGGACAATTGCAGCACCTCAGGGCACAACTGACTGAGCAAAAGGAGACCTCTGTTGTTGTTAAACACTGCACAGCTTTGGTCATGGATTTCCCACAAAAAAAAAAAAAAGACAGAAAAATGCTACGCCTAAAGGCACAATCCAGGCGTTCCCAGACACAGTGAGGAACAGAGATACAGTTGAAGGTTTGGTTTTGGGTAGATACTAATTACATTGTGAAACTAGCAGTTATTAAATAAGACATAACCTCAACTGGGACCATAAGAATTTAAGTGAAACAGAAAGATAAACAAAAGTATGCATGTAACAAGCCTTCGATTTCAGAAAGACAAATTGAGGGCTATAGAAACTACTAATTAGAGTAAGTCCCTCCTTAAGTGGTCTATCTGTAGCAGTAAGTCTGCACTAGAAAGTCAGGGAGTACAGTGAAGATCACAAAAACTCCACTGATCTAGACCTTGTAAGTAAAATAGAAGCATCAGAAGATTTTTCATGCCATTACAAAAGTAAAGAAGCCATTATACTGCAACAGTAGGTATTTAAAATAATGCAAGTACAGCTCTGAAACTTATTTAATTTGTTTTCAATTAAGATGGCAGAATTTGACCTCTAGTGGAAAGATAATATGACTAATGGGGATTCTGGTATGAACAGGAGTAGGTCTAAGGCAGAAGGGAAACTCCAAGATTCGGTTCATTCAGTTTCAGTGGACCACACTTGTTTCCTACATTTCCTAACAAGTGAAATCACCTAAGTGTAGCCTATGGGTGCATGGTAGCAAGCTACTGAAAACTGTAGCCTTTTTATTTACCTAATAGGTAAGTTGTATGTATGATTTTACTTGAAGTTTTCACTAAGATCCCAGAACTTTAAAGACTACATCATCTTATGAAAATCCTTCTGTTCAGTAGTCACCACATGAAGTCACTGAAGAAAAGCATGTTTTCTGCTTGTCACTGCTCCCCTGACAGCCCCCAGCTGCCTCTTTCTGCCAAGTCCCACCAAGGAGACCCAGGGGCTGAGCAGGTGCGCACAGGGCCTGAGCCCACTCTGTTTGGAGCTCAACCAGCCAGACAGTAAGGCTGCTCACGCTCCGCCTCTTCGTAGTCGTTAAAACAATCCTCAGTGGAAACATTTTTTCAGTTTCCATATAGATTCATATGCTGGCCCAGCTCTACATTAAAGTTCTGAATTTTGAGGCTTTTTCCCCTGTGCAAATCTTCCTCAAGGGCTATTAAAAAAATCCACACAATAACTACTTGTATTTGCCGTGTCTCTCTGTATTTGCAGATACACTGGGAGGTGAACCTTGAGGAAGATCAGGTTGGACATTAGGGAAAAGGTTCTTCACAGAGAGGGTGGTTGGTCACTGGAACAGGGTCCTCAAGGAAGTGGTCATGACCCCGAGCTTGGGCACAGCTATGGGCCTGCACAACTGTGAGGAGGGGGCGTCTGGGACAAGGCAGACGGGACCACGACTGGCCTCAGAGGCTGAGCAGGGCAATACGGCGGCGGTGAGCAATACAACGCGGTCCCTTACGGGGTGGCAGAACCCCGGAAAGGCCGCCGAGAACTCTGCATGGCCTCGGGCTAACGTGGCGGCGACGCCGCCGCCAGCCCAACCGCACCCCGACAAACAACTCCTAAGGCAGCTGCGGGGGAGACCGGTACCGGTCCCGCACCCACCACCACCAGTCCGAAGCGCAGCTGAAAGGTGCAGGCGCCCCAGCTCCTCCTCCCGCCGCCGTGTAGGAGGAGCGCAGTCGCGGTAGCTCCTGGACCGGCGCCACTTCCAGGGTGGTAGCGCCGCGGGACCGCCGGCGATGGTTGCCGCTGGCCCCCGCCCGGGGAGCTGACATGGCTCCCCCGGCCGCAGCTGCCGGCGGAGGCAGACGCGGAGCCGGCGGAAAGCTACCAGCTACGGCAGGAGAACGAGCTCCAGGTGCTGGAGTCTATTTACGGGCAGGACTTCCAGGACCTGCGCCAGAGCCAGGCATGGAAGGTAACGAGTGGGGCCCCCCGCTGCCTGCGTGGAGCCGGCCGGGGGCAGACGCGGTTGCGTGGAGGCCTCGTCCCTTCTCCCTTAGCGCTCCCTGCGCCCAGCAATGGGTAACGACGCAGAGCCGCGTCTTCCCCTTCCTCCTCCCCCCCTCTAAAAAGTTGCCCTTTAATTTATTCCTTAACAAACTAATTGTTTTCTTGCTTAATTCCTCTCATCGTACGTATACATGTTGCTGATCTTTGCATGTTTATTATGTGGCTTATTCAAACTGGCTGCTTCCATGAAAACTTAATACCTTAAAATTCAGTTTTATAGTGGGTTTTGGGTTTTGTTGCTGGAGGTTTTTGTGGTTTTGTTGTGGTTTTCTTTTTTAATTACAGCTAATTAGTGCTCAGGTCACTGTTCTTTTCCGTTGCTCTTTTGTGACCACAACGTCTAACGGAGAATTCTTTTCCAGCTGCATCTGTGGCAGTGTTTTCCTATGTCTGGGGGTACTGCTCCCTCTTTTCAGTTCCCCACGTTCACTGCTACTGTCAGCTCTGTTTACGTTCTTTGATCTTTCAGTTTCTACAAAATGCCATAGTCCCTGCTGTCGTTTTCTGCCGTAAACCAGAACTTAAAATTCTTGCAGAAACATTACTTTTTTTTCTTTTTTTTTGTGGTGGTGGTTTTGGGTTTTTGTTGGTTTTTGTTTTGTAAGGATTTTTTTTTGCATGGTGTTTGAAGCAAAGTGTTGCAGATCTCACTCCCTATTAAATTCATACCTGGTATCCTTTTGACTTACCCTATTCTTTTCCCCGTTGGAAACACAAAGGAAAAATAGAGGGGATAGTGACCATCTTTTACGCTGTTTCTGTATTTATTATTCCATGTTGTCTAACTTCCCTGCTTGTTTGTCATGTTACGAAGGTCTGGGTTGGGTTTTGATTGTTGGTTTGTTTGGGTTTTTTTCCCCAAAAGGTTTAATTTTCTAACTGCAAACAAAGTTTAAAGTGTTTATATGGACATGTTTTACTCTATTCAGATTTTGAGTAGGGAATTTGAGTAGGATGGGGAGGAAGGACAGGACTTATTAAAATTCTGTTTTATGCCAAAACCAAAATATAAATACAAAAACATTACTATCATTTTGTCTGGCCACTAAAGGTGTGCAGAGATGTGATGTTGTAGTCTGTTGCCATGTCAGAAAAGAGAATACTGACTGGTGTTTGTTAGTGATCAAAAACAAACCAAAAGAAACAATACTGTTCTTATAATGAATGCTTTAACTTGTGATATTCCATAAACAAACTGTGACATTTATTTCTTTTTTCTCCGGTACTAGCTTACAGTAAGCAGAATACAAGTGTTTTATAATAAAACTTCCTTTTTACTCAATCTGAATTATTTTCCTAATAACTGTAACTACACTTATCTGAGGAAGTTCTAAAAATACACTGGATAAACTGTGGTAATCAGTGAACCAGTTTACTCTCATTGAGCATGTCAATACATTAATATATTTTTTTCATGGTTTGGATGGTCTAACCTGAATTCTGCTGTAATATAGGCTGTCAGAGTTGTGTGCTTTCATTGAAGCAAAACCAAAAAGCTCTTTTAAATCAAAAAATGTGTTTTCCATTTTAGGTACGACAGCCTCCTGAAATTAAGTTAGTTCTGTGCCCTCGGGGATTGACCGGTGATAATGAAGTCTATGCCAAAGTTGATCTGTGGGTCAAGTGTCCACATACTTACCCCGATACGTGAGTGCACATTAAGATATAACCTTTTTTCTCTGAACATTTTTCTCTGCTTTCCATTGTAAAGTGTAAGTTGAAAAAGTGTGGAGTTTTATTCACTGCTCTTCTTCTTGTTTTCTGCATGTCAGTATTTGTTAAGCCTGTATAATAGGCAACTATATAATTTGGCACCTGAGTTGGATGTGGTGTCTTGCGCAATGGAGAATAATTGGGATGCATTTGTCAGTGCAGGACTGCAGCCCCAGTTTGTAGCTGTAGGAGGCATAAACACAGGTGTGCCTGCCAGCATCTTCGTGCCCTTATTAAACTTTTTCAGCTCATGACCTGCTGAGAGAGGGAGTGAATCTTCATTTTTCAAGCAATCCGCTGTTTTAGTTCTATGTGCTGCTCCTGTTTTCTGCTGGGTTAGCCTTTTGGAGGATTTCTCCATGGAGAGTGTAATAAGAATTGCAGGTGATCACCCTGCCAGCGTTTTGGGTTGGCAAGAAATGTCTGGGTTAAGTGTTACTGTGTGAGCACAGTTCTGTTCAGTCCGTAACTTCCCTTACTTCACCCATTGGCGCTGGGGCATGAGCAGTGCACAAGGGATGTGCTGTTCCTTACGAAGCGATAGCTCAGCTCTACCCTCTAACGTGGGACGTAACAGCCACTCTTTTTTTTTTTTTATTTAAGATGGCCTAGCTGCAGATGTTTCACATGTTTACTTCATTGTAAGCATTTCTTTTTTAATTCAGCTGTTATTTATTTATTTCACATGTTTCGTTAAGTTTGTGTAACCTGTGTAGTGGTAATAAATTTTAAACACCTGAATGTTATGCTAGTAATACTTTTAAAGGGCTCTTGTGTAAATTAGTGATTAAGACCTGAATTACAAGAGTTCGCAGGGCTCCTTTGGTAGTTCTTATGTTAAGTAGAACCAACAGATAAACTGCAGACAGCAGATTTCATAGTAGGGAATATAAAACAGGCTTTATTTTATATTTAATATGTAATATTTATGTACTCCTTATTTGAGCATTGACTAATGGCCAAGTGACTATGAACTCCATTCCTTTTCCCTCATCCACCATTTTTATCAACGCTTTGTATGTTACACAGTTGCTTTTTACACTCAGTTTTTCTAATGAGGACTTTTTAATGTTCTGTTGCTGTCACCCAGTGTCCCCGAAATACAGCTAACAAATTCGAAAGGTTTGTCAAATGAGAAAATAAATGAACTAAGGTCCAAACTAGCTGAACTGGCAAAACAGCGCTGTGGAGAGGTAAGAATTTTTCACTTCCTTGAGAAAAATACTCTGGACCTAAATAGTTCTTAAAAATGTTTGGTATTGTATAAAGACATACGTGCACATTGGAAGTGTAAGTTGCGTTGCTCCTAAGGAAGGATAGACTTTTTTCTTAAGAATGTTTCTAACTAATGAAAATTTGGAATATGTACACTCTTAAAGTACTGCGCATATGTAAATAATGCGAGCCTTGTCCCTGTTTGAAGGCACATTTAAAGGTTCATGTTATTCTCAGAGTTATTTCATAGTGTGAAAGGCAATATTAACTCTGAGCTTTCTGCGCTTTTCAGATTAGTTTGAATATTGTAAATGGCTTCACCTGTTTAAGCAAGCAGCTGTTACTGGGGGGTTCTTCAGTACATAGCCAGTTCAAGTAAACAGTAACTGAAAGTTGATTGCAACCTTGCAAACCCTGCAGCAGAATTCAGCTGAGCTTTCAGTGCAGTTCTTATTTTGGTAGTTGTGGTTATACAAATGTGGAGTGCCTGAAGTGGCTTTATAGCTCTCACTGGTGGACGTGGGGGCAGTGTGCAGAGGAATGATTGGATTTTATGTTAGCAGTGAAATAAGTAGCTATTTCAAACAATCTCAGACAATTGCAAAGGAAAAAAAAATCTGTGGGAGCTCTTAGGTCACGAGTACATGTCTCTGTGAATAAAAAAAGAAGCCTAAAAATAGAATTTTTAATTTTTTTTCTTTCTTTTTTTTGAAAAAACAGATGTTTGAAGTTGGCTGTCTTTCAGGGTTTTTACCCCATCTTTCCTACTGTGGTCAGGGATTTTTCATGTTACAGTTTATTAATAAATAGTTCTGACAAAAAATACGGAAATATGGTAAATTTTCCCTAATAAGTAACAAAATCAGCAATCGTGCTGCTGTATTTCTTTTTCAAGTTGGGTTTCATTTTACTACGTGATCTACTTATTCTTTGAACTCTGTGTGTCATTTGTGTTTGTTTTCTTTCAGGTTATGATATTTGAACTTGCTGACCATGTACAGTCATTTCTCAGTGAGTACAATAAACCACCTCCCAAGTCTTTTCATGAGGAAATGCTAAAAAATCATCAAAAAGAACAAGAAAGACTGGCTCAGGAAGAGTTGCGTAGAGCACAAGAAGTTAAGAGAAGAGAGGAGCAGGAGGTAAGAAATGAAAGTGTGAGTAACGCTGTATCCTTAACATAAACAACCATGATTCTGTAGATCATCCTGCACAGGGGTGGGTTTTACTGGATTACAGACTTGTCAGACCTGTCAGGAGAGCTAATTTGACTTCTGTTTTTTAGTTCTTGTGAGATCCACAGGTCCTCTTTAACACTTTTTTAAAATGAGCTTCATAGCTTTTTTATAATTCTTTTTTTGACCAGTGTAAGGTCAGCTGTTGCATTGCACGTGCTGTTGCATCTCTAACAACACTGATGTTCGTTTCAGCAACGTGAAATCCTTAATGAGATTCAGAGAAGGGAGGAAGAGAAAAGAGAAGAAAGAAAAAAGAAGGAGATTGCCAAACAGGTATTCGTTCTGAGCAGGCGTGCAGAAACCACTGCAGTAACTTCTTGCCAGTACTGTAGCATATGCTTATAAAAATCTGAGAGATTTACTTGTCTGAATTGTCCTGGATATCTTTTCTTATCCAGTGCTTCTAATAGATCTAGCTTAAAGTAGGTTCTTGATTATATGGGGTTTATTTCTGAAATAAAACAACTATAAAGGAAAATAGTTTAATATATTGGCATCTTAAAGGTACCAAGAAGGGTGTTTGCAAACATGCATAGAGAAAAGCTAGTATGTTAACGCTTCTGGTTTCTTTGTAAAGTATCTTTAAATTCTTGCCCAAGGACAGTGCTGAAAGACACTTTCTGAATCTCAGCACTTTTCCCTTAGTCTCATATTTGCATCTGTTATGAAAATCTGTTTCTGCTGTGGTCTGGGAGACTTTATAGAATAATAGTTAAGTACTCGCATATATTGAGGATAGAAGCAGTTTCTGTACTTTTTTGGTGTTTTTCCTGATTTATAGGAACGTTTGGAAATAGCTGCTCTGAAAAGTCAAGCAAATTCTCACAAGAGAGATGCTTCAGGGTATAGAGTTGCTTCCAGTTTAAATGGGAGCTGTTCAGAGCATGGGGTGAATAATAAGCACCGACCAAATTCAGCTGGACGTTCAAAGTAAGTATGTCTGTTTGCACGTGGAATTTTTTGTTGCAAATACTAGATTTCAAAGTGAACTTCGAAGGCGAGAGGGTAGTGTGCCGTGTTGCCCAGCTGTTCATTTTGGTCTCCCCTTCCCCTCCTATTTCTCCTTCTCTTCATTTGACATGGTTTAACTAACTCCTGTGCTATGGATGACTTGGGAACTTCCCAATCAAGACAGTCACCTTGGCCCTTAGTTTAACTTAGGAAGTGTTTGTCAATCGTTAGAAGGTATATTCAGGGCTTACTTGGTTTTTTAAAAGTATGAAATACGTTGGCAGTTGCAGAAGAAAATTAGTTTAAATCAGGTAATGACGGTTTTGGAATAGCACTATAAATTAAAGCTTATATTCATCTCAAAACATTTACTGTAAAGATACACCCATGTAAATTTCCCTGTTGGAGAATTGGATAATGCTTACTGCATTTGCAGAGCAATTTATCGGAGGCCAGATTAGAGTTATTGGAGGATTCTTTTGCTGGTACATGACTCATCTCGTTTAGGATTGCTGTTGGGATGGGTAGGTTGGGGGTTTTATTTTTCTTTAATTTTTTTCCCCTTTCCTGCATTCATAGCTGATAAAACGGTCAAGGACAGAGGATTTATCCTGATAGGAATTTTTCTAGTTTGATTCCTATTGTACCAGTGACTTCTTGTTTTAATGGAATAGTGTATTCTTGATTTTTTTCCTTGTTTGTAGGCTTCAGAATTTTTTTCACTCAGCAACACTGGATACCTGAAGCAGAAATTCTTCTGTGATCTGTCCTACTTTAACTCTTCCTACCATATCTTGCCTTTGCCTGTTGCACATCGTATTTGACAGTTGTTTCTGTGTACTGTTTAGTAGTCCATAAATCTGTCTATCTTCTTGCTAATCTTAGTATAACAGAACAAGTCACTGCTTGTGCTCGTGGAACACGGCAAGTGTCATGGAATCACAGAATATTAGGGCTTGGAAGGGACCTTGAAAGCTCATCCAGTC